CAACTGGACCTTCAAATTAAAAAGAAACAAAGTTGGAAAGCATGATGGTATGTCTCCCCAAAAGGAATAATCCTTTTTATGAAGTGAGTGATCACAACTCAATGTCTCTGCTTTAGAAATCTGGATTTTTTTGTTTTTATTGAAATACAGTTGATTTACAATATTGTGTTAGTTTCCAGTGTACAGCAAAGTGATTCAGAGATATAAATACATACACACACACACACACACACACACACACACACACACACACTTTTCTTTTCCATTTTAGGTTATTACAAGATACTGAATATAGTTCCCTGTGCTATACGGTAGGTTTTGCTGTTTATTTTACGTATAGTAGTGTGTATCTGTTAAATCCCCAAATCCTGATTTATCCCTCCCCCACTCCCTTCCCCTTTGGTAACAGTAAGTTTGTTTTCTATGTCTGTGAGTCTGTTTCTGTTTCGTAAATAAGTTCATTTTTTATGATATAAGTGATATCACATATAAGTGATATAATATGATATTTGTCTTTCTCTGACTTACTTCACTTAGTATGATAATCTCTAGGTCCATCCGTGTTGCTGAAAATGGCATTACTTCATTCATTTTTTATGGCCAAGTAGTATTTCACTGTATATATGCACCACATCTACTTTATCCATTCGTCTGTCAGTGGGCACTTAGGTTGCTTTCATGTCTTGGTTATTATAAATAGTGCTGCAATGAACATTGGAGTGCATGAATCTTTTCAAGTTAGAGTTTTTGTCTTTTCCAGATATATGTCCAGGAGTGGGATTAATTCTATTTTTAGTTTCTTAAGGAACATCCATACTGTTCTCCAGAGTGGCTGCACCAATTTACATTCTCACCAACAGTGCAGGAGGGTTCCCTTTTCTCCACACCCTCTCCAGCATCTATTATTTGTGGACTTTTTGATGATGCCATTCTGGCCAGTATGAGGTGATACCTCATTGTAGTTTTGGTTTGCATTTTTCTAATAATTAGCGATGTTGAGCATCCTTTCATGTGTCTGTTGGCCATCTGTATGCCTTCTCTGGAGAAGTGTCTATTTAGGTCTTCTGCCCAGTTTTTGATTGGGTTGTTCATTTTTTTGATATTGAGCTGTATGAGCTGTTTGTTTATTTTGGAAATTAATCCCTTGTCGGTTGCATCATTTGCAAATATTTTCTCCCAGTCAGTAGGTTATCTTTTTGTCTTGTTTATGGCTTCCTTTGCTGTGCCAAAGCTTTTAAGTTTAATTAGGTCCCATTTGCTTATTTTTGTTTCTATTTCCACTACTCTAGGAGATGGATCCAAAAAAGTATTGCTGCGATTTATATCAAAGAATGTTTTGCCCATGTTTTCCTCTAGGAGTTTTATAGTATCTGGTCTTACATTTAGGTCTTTAATCCATTTTGAGTTTATTTTTGTATATGGTGTTAGAGAATGTTCTAATTTCATTCTTTTACATGTAGCTGTCCAGTTTTCCCAGCACCACTTTTTGAAGAGACTGTCTTTTCTCCATTGTATATTCTTGCCTCCTTTGTCATAGATTAACTAACCAAAGGTGCATGGGTTTATTTCCTGGCTAATTTGCCTAGTTTTGTTAATAAACTTTTAATCTTTTTAAAGAAAGATTTTTATAAAAGATTTTAAAACATGTTTAGAGAAACAATTAAAAATCCTTTGCTTCTTCCTGCCTGCTGATCCACATAGCAGAGGCACATGTGCTGGTCTGAGAATAGGTTGAAGACCCCAGGTTTACCTTGCTTTCTGGAGGGCTTTCTACTGAAACTTGTCAATACCCTGCTTATATAAACCACAGATTGCCAAAGCTCTGAATCTTCTATTGTCTATATTTTGTCTGTTTGGAACTAGTTATTAGACTAGAAAAGCACCTCTTTTTCTTCATGTATAAAATGAAACCAGATGAACATCCTTCTAGTACTAAAGCTCTAGGTTGACTACATGTAAGTACAGTATATGCGTCTTACTTTTTCTCTGAAAATAAGAGCTTTACCACCAGACAATAAAAATTCCATTCCATTCGGCCCACAGATAAGGTCCTCTTAAAGAAGAAACTTTATTTGAAGAAAATAAGACCTGATATTGGGTCTCATTCAATTCATGCACATCATTTATTACTGAAGGTCAGGGATAACATTCCATAAACTAATGGAGATCTCAAACTATTTACTAGCTTATTTGATGCTGATGAGCTGACAGTATCGGCTTCTTGATAATGGCACATAGCCTGACAAACTGAATAACAGCAGCTACAACTGGAAGATCATGAAGGTTTAAAAGATCTTTTTTTTTCTGTAAGAACAATAATTCACTTGTCCACCGTTTGAAACTAAGAAGCCTACTTTTTCTTCACTTGTCCTCCCTATGAGTATCCTTGTCCCTAAAAAATAACTTGAAGTTTTCTAAAGGTTAAAAAACTTAATAGGAAAATATAACTGATACAATGTTATAAATGGTTACTCCCATATGAAGATAGTTTATACAAGTTTGAAAGCTTTTTGTATAGACTGTTAACAGCATGGATTGCACTTCTAACAGCTAGATATGAGTCAGATATGAGGCAGCACCTATAAACATCATTTTCTCTTCTTTTGTCTAAAGCTGTAAGAAATGCCAATTCTCAAGTCCTACTTTTTAACTTAAATAAGCGGCATTTCATTCTAATGACATTCTCAGACGTCAGTCAGGAGGCTGTGTTAAAATGAGGTCTTGCCAGCATTTCTAAATTGCCTTGGCTGGGAACTACAGCTCTATGGAGCAGCAGGTTATGGTCAGCTCTATTGAGTATGTTCTTATGTACCTTATAAGTATGTAAATCAAACAACAAAAATCTGAATTTGAACAAATTAAATATCATTATTTTTCATGTCATCTTCAAAAACAACCTCCTTTGCTCATCCCTTCACCCTCTGCCAATCAACTCTGGCATAATCTATACAACATATCTTAAAGGCACAGAGAATACACTTTTAGGAAAAGCAAATGAGCAAATCATTTGATCATAACAAGTCTACATGAATGAATCATTCATTCTGTGAATCATCTCTGGCAATGGTACTATTTCACAGAACTGTGGAATCTTAAAAATTTACAGGTAGAAGGAAATTGAGAGATTACTGAGTCCAAGCCCCTTGTTTCTTGGTGGAGGAAACTGAGGTCCTGGAGAGAAGGAATGTGCCCAGGATCATGTGGCCAGCCACCAGCGGGCGGGGCTCAAACTGGGACTCCTGGCCCCAACATGCTTCAGGAGGCTGAGTCCCCTTAGAGTCAAATTAGACATATACTTGAATACTGATTTCTGCAGGACAACGTGATGGCAAATCTGCTACTGCAGTCCTGATGTGTTTTGTACTCCAAGGTCGGACATAAATCTCAGAAGATTATTTGTTGCAAACCTTCTCTTTTGGGGACAACAATGCCATCCTTTAAAAAATGAAGACTGGATTCTGGTTAATGGTGCCATATTTCCTCATCAATTTAAATTACGTTACAGACTTTTAATTTCTGGTTCACTCAAAATTAAAAGTGGCTTCTGGGGACTTCCCTGGTGGTGCAGTGGTTAAGAATCCACCTGCCAACGCAGGAGACACAGGTTTCGGCCCTGGTCCAGGAAGATCCACATGCCGTGGAGCAACTAAGTCTGTGCACCACAACTACTGAGCCTGTGCTCTAGAGCCCGCGAGCCACAATTACTGAGCCTGTGTGCCACAACTACCAAGCCCACGTGCCACAACTACCGAAGCCCTCACGCCTAGAGCCCATGCTTTGCAACAAAAGAAGCCACCGCAATGAGAAGTCTGCGCACTGCACCGAAGAGTAGCCCGTTTGCCGCAACTAGAGAAAGTCTGCGCACAACAACAAAGACCCAACACAGCCAAAAATAAATAAATAAATTTATTTATTTATTTATTTATTTATTTTTAAAAAGTTGCTTCTGATCCTTTAAAGATTTTCAATTTCTCAACCTGTTAGGCGACCTGGTTAATTTCACATTAACAAACTCCTAAAAGCATCAGAAGGTGTCTCTTTAAGGGCAATCTTTACATGAATATTTTTGCGAATCCCAACCTTTCAGTAAAAAGAGCAGAACTAATGCACTTTGTGCACCAAAAGCTCTGTCATCCACTGCTACAACAGAGCACACTGGTGTGACACGAAATAAAACATACTTAGAGACAGAACCCAAAGATGTTGGCGAATTAGTCATGTATACGCTGCAAATGTCTGGGTGATGCAAACCCTCCTTTCTCAGGTTAGTGTGGATTACTGGGAGCTGCTGACGGTCAGACAAGCCGCTCTAGCCCTTCTCACCCTGGGCAGGGTGAGCTCTTATGAGCCGTACCACGGCCTGTCCCTGATAGGCCCCAATGGCCCTGAAGCAGGCAGTGATGCAGGAGTGACCTAGGACCAAGGGCACTCACTGTGCTTGCTGGCCTTAGCAGGAGCCCCAAAAGCCCAGCCCCACACAGCGGGAGATTCCAGGCCCTAGAACCCTCTGATGTGCTGCTGAGCTGCTCAAAAGCTCAGAAAACCAGTTTTTAAAGTGCAGTATGTACAGTATTGCAGAAAATGAAGATGACATAAAACCCGCGTGTCCAAGGGCACAGGGGTGGCCACAAAAATTTCGTTTCATCCAACATTTACTCTGTTCTATCCTCAAGTTAAACCTGAGCCTAATACAAGCAAATGAAAATGTGCACAACCTGCCAGGACAAGGTTCACTGCTCAGCGTGCCTGTGGACAGACTTCCACTCACTCAGGAATTACAGCGAACCTCCAGAGTGAAAAGTGAGTTTCTAACTAATGAATCTAGACTATTTAAGAGAAATCCATTCTAAAATACACTAGAATAAAACCTCGTCTGGAAAATCTGGGTCCTGTTTTTATTCTCACACTAAGATGAACTGCAATGGCTCCGGGTCTCTGTTAGCTGCGCTGCTGAATGAGACCCCTTCCCAGGCTGCCCACTTGAGTTAACACAGCAATACCTCCTGATGGCCACGGTGAGAGCCTCTGGTGAGCTGGCGCATGGACAGATGACCTCCTGGCGTAGACCTTTACTTTGGAAGACGTTGAGAAACGCGTCACAGGAAGAAATAGACCCTAGAGGGAAAGGGGGGATGATAATCAGACAGGAGAAGCAATGTGGACAATTAAAAGTATCCCATAATATAAAATGCTTTTGAAGTTAGGATCTAGGCACATGGGGAGTTAGGCAGCATGGAAAAATATCACTCGTGTTACAATGAAAGATAATATTATTCTCAAACACAGAACTCAAGAATTTAAAAAATGCAACTTCTATACTTAAAACCTTTTTGCTGACTGAAGAACTTAACTTTAATAACTTTTCTGAGACATGTTCTAGCATTTTCAACATGCATGTTCCAAGAAATAAGTAACTCTAAACCCAACTAAATGAAGAAAACATTTCTCTAAATTAATGTGAGTGATGAGATCAAGTTATAATTACTAGGAACCTATCAGCTAAACTAGTTCCTAATACAAGTTTACCTTGCTTCCTGTAAGACATATTACTCTGAAGAGTTATGGGCAAAATCAATTGTGTACTAAACAGCCCACAATTTATGGAGTTATTTTGTAAATGGAAGAATCATTTATAAAATTAATACAAAATCACCTGCTTGCAAGTCCACTTTTGCATATCAGATGTTCTTTAAGAAAGTATATACTGCTTTAATTTACAAATATATATGCTGCAGAGTTTACAAATTGTGGTCAGAAACATACATTGTTCATTCAATTCACTTCACTCACTTTGCTTCTCGCTTATATACTCTTCTCATAAAAAACAAGCTAGCTGGGTTTTTGTTTCAACTGACTGAAATATTTCTCAAGGTATATTAACAGTATTCTGTGGAACTGCTAATTTATTTTACCTAGGTAATTTCTGCTACAGGATTTGATAATAAAATTCCATTAAAAATCAAATTTCCTGATCAATAAAACTACTATGGACCATAAAATAATAATAGTTAATATTTCTTGAGCACTTGTTATATCCCAAGGAACTGTACACAGGGATTGCTTCATTTAATCCTCATAAAATCTGATGACTGGGTACCATCTTGCAGCTAACAAAAGGAGAAGAATTTTAACAAGTAAGATATGTTCTCTTCAGAATCAGGAAGTGGAAGGGCTAGGACTCAACCCCAGGGCTGTGTCTGGACCTTCAGGCCCTGGTGCCCGTAGGCTACGCTGCGTAATACTGTTTGGCTTTTATCTTAAGACCACTTCTTCACTAAGGTAAAGACTAGAAATGGGAAAAATCAAACCCCAGAGAATGAAACCTGGAGAATGAGGCCCCCTCCGGACTGCCTGGTGCCGTCACTTACAGGGATTTGCGCCGTCGGCCACTATCAGCATCCGGAGAGAGGAGAGGTTGATGTCTCTCTGATCCCTGTGTGCCACCAATGCCCAGTGCATGTCCCTGGATTTGACACAGGCCACTTTTGCTGAAGGAGAAGCAGGGGGGAAGTGAGTCACCGCCTGTGCCGCAGGATGGCGTGACATTAAAGGGGCAGCCTCCGCAACGCACCTTTGTACTGGCAGACCTTCTGAATCCAGGACAGCGGGTTCACCTTCATCAGCGAGTACGGGATGCTGATCACGTGCATCATGTTCATGACGCTCTGAAAGCATGACACTGGGCAGTGAGTAGGGGAGGGCTCCATGTGGGACTCACCCTGCTGCCAGGGGCTCCCTGGTGGGAGGGTGGGGACCACATGGGCATCTCACTGGGGATGATCCTTTAACAGGCTGTGGGAGTGGAGGCGACTTCTCAAAGCTTGTCTAGTCCTCCCGACTCCTGCTTCTACTGATACAACTCAAGAATCTAAGTCCAATGGAAGCAACCTAAGTGTCCATCAACAGATGAATGGATAAAGAAGATGTGGCACATATATACAATGGAATATTACTCAGCCATAAAAAGAAACGAAATTGAGTTATTTGTAGTGAGGTAGACGGACCTAGACACTGTCATACAGAGTGAAGTAAGTCAGAAAGAGAAAAACAAATACCGTATGCTAACACATATACATGGAATCTAAAAAAAAAAAAAAAGGTTCTGAAGAACCTAGGGGCAGGACAGGAATAAAGATGCAGACCTACTAGAGAATGGACTTGAGGACACGGGGAGGGGGAAGGGTGAGCTGGGATGAAGTGAGAGAGTGGCAATGGACATATATACACTACCAAATGTAAAACAGCCAGCTAGTGGGAAGCAGCCGCACAGCACAGAGAAATCAGCTCGGTGTTTTGTGTCCACCCAGAGGAGTGGGATAGGGAGGGTGGGAGGGAGATGCAAGAGGGAGGAGATATGGGGATGTATGTATACGTATAGCTGATTCAGTCTGTTCCACAGCAGAAACTAACACACCATTGTAAAGCAATTATACTCCAATAAAGATATTAAAAAAAAAAATCTAAGTCCAAATCCTTTTCTTATAAAAACTTAAGTTGAATGACCATTTTTTTATTGGCCTTTCAGTCTTGAAGCTTAATTCTCTCTGGTGTATTCTACTCATTTTTATTCACAAAATTAATTTCCTTTATTAAATGTAACACTGAAATCCAAGGAGCAGTGGAAGGTTGTCTTAATGCCCTCACTCTTCCATCTAGCCTGGCTCATGTACACCAGGACCCGTAAAAGGTTTTTTTCTTTAAAATGGATGACAAAAACTAACTTTTTAAGTAAATGGTCAGTCCTCACACATTGCAGCTGGGACTCATACATCTGAGTGGCTGCACGCACAGACCTGGCAGGAAGGGCCCACAACATGGGGAGCACTAGACAAGATCCCCCCTGGTCGGCTCTGCCCCCGCTGTGGGTGGAGGTGGAGAAAGAGGGCACGGACACTCTGCAGAGCGCTGGTCTAGCTCAGAAGCTCTGCAGGAAGATGACCACATGCACCCTCCCCCACAAGGGTGAGCCTGCTCACCGCTAGCATTCACCTCCCTCACCTCGCGCTTGCTCCCCATTCCATACTGGAGGTGGGAGCATCTTTCACCATAAAGAAGTTAAGATGCTCTGGAAGAGTGCGTGCTGCCTAGCCAGAGACCTGTCTTGCTCTAGAAGGTGGCAGCCAGAGGACAGACTCAGAAACCACCAATTCCGGAGGCAGTAATCCATAGCATCAGTAAGCAGGCGGGTGACCATGTCAACAAGATCTATCACAGAGCTCTTGAAAGCAAGACTGTCACGAGAGAATTCTGATGGCAACGGTCATGAAGCAAGTAGATGGGCCAGGCACTCGCTGAACATTAAACCACGTGGTTCTCACACGGTCAACATTCCCATTGGACGGATAAGGAAAACAGAGGTGCAGAGTGACTCAGGCAACAGACGATTCTTGGGCACAGGAGCAGGTGACGTGCCCAGAGTCACAAGCTACAGAAGGAAGGACCAACATCCAACCTGGGTTCTCTGAGGCTGTGCTCTTCCCATGACACCAGCAGGCCACGGGTAATGCGTGTGTGGGGCTGTGTTTCTGTCTCACCGACTAGTGTCCAGACAGTAACACAAGGAAACTGGCTGGGCTGGAGCCCCAAACCTTTGTCTATATGATGTCTGCATAAATTCTGGTTTATCAAGAAACAACAAATACCTCTTTTTATACTTATGTTCCTATCACTCATGTAAAGCTACTAGAATTTTTTGCTTCTAAAAAGATATAAAGTTTCAGCATAAGAAACTTAAAAAGAGAAACAGGTGAGTGGAAATCATCACATATGAAACAGACATAGGGAGATTCGAAGCAGTGATGCTACACATATTTCTTAAGTGCTAAGCATATCTTAATAATAAGGTTATCCCTCTATTAAAAGTGCCTACAGCTTTGAATGGTCATCACTTCTCAAGTGGCACTAACAAAAATGAGATATACATTCTCTGCAACTCGTGTTGAATTTTTGGCCAAGGGGAAATCTCAGAGTACTTTTCCCCCTGCAGCATAATTCCCAAAACATTCATTAAACAATGATTCACAGAAAGATAAAAAGAATTTTGTAGCCAAATCATATGTATGGGCAAAGTGACCCAAATGCAAGACATCAACGTTTCTGCACAATCTGAAATGCCAACCGTGGGAAGAAAGATCCTGAACTTCCCTGAGCCTAAAAGGGCCGCTCTCTCTCACAGCCGCAGCCTCAGGGCGTGAGCCCACGATGCAGGCAAGCAGCTACTGACCCACTGGTCTGCTGAGCTCCTGGAAGTTACATTAACTTAAGACTTCTAAAAATGGTAACTTTTCTTTATAATGTGGGAGGAAGGGGCTTACTCAAGCCACTGTGTACACAGATCATCATTCTAATCCCAACACTAAGCACATTCAAAGTTAAACAGGACACTGCAGAGCAAGGGGCGTCTCACTTACTGTTAGGATTCCGTGCCAAAGCCCAACGTCTTTCTTGAAATCCAACACATTCACAATTGTTTCAGCTATAAAATAAAAAGAGTCAAAAATTTTAATGAAAGATGGTCACAGACCAAAGGACAAAAATAAATCCAATATCACATCAGTGGGAAGTAATGGGTCTTAGAAAAACATCATTTCACTGACTTTACAGAAATGCTGCAGCCTCCAATCAGACCCATTTAAAATGCTGGACTGCCTGGGAAGTGTTTCTAGATGAGTATTCTGATACACAACTTAACAGCAATAGCTCTTCACAGCAACACTTAAAACGCCTTATTCCTTCTCCTTTTATATATTGGGTTGGCCAAAAAGTTCGTTTGGGTTTTAATGAACTATTTGGCCAACCCAATATTTGTTTTCCCTCTCCCTGCCTTTTTCTTTCTTAAAAGATTCTTTTCATTTCCATCACATGTTCTCCCAAGAGAGGGAAATGCTGTGTACTTGCAGGAGGAGGCAATTTCCAGCAAACCTGCCACTAGAATGCTCACCAAAGCTTCAGTATCGAGTGCCTGACCCCCTTTCAAAAAGGGACATTCAAAATACACAGCCTGTGTTCTATCTTATGCAAGATGTTTAAAAGGAGAATCAGGAAGCAAGTATGTATCTATCTTCCCCAACCCCTGCAAGAGTGATGGCCCTGGACCTTTAGGAAATTAGGGCAAGGAATACAGGTCATGAGGTTGTGAGAAAAACTAGAAAACTGAAAACAGTGGCAAACAGGGTGGTGATCATTAGAGGTAGTGTGTCTCCACGTGTGAAAATATCTGGGAAACTTGTACAGGGACCAAACATCAGTGGAACATCTCCACGAGACAAGTGAACTGTTCTTAAAAAGGGAGACTGCCAGAAGGATGGGGAGAGAGAGAAAGCAAATGAGAACAGCAAAAAGAGAAAAGTGTCTCATCCATGGCTCGTGACAGACGCTTGGGTACTGGGAAGAGACTCCAGTGTGGCGGATGCCTGTGACGTGGCTAGTGCGGGGACCTGATGGCAGACACTCCAGCGGAGGGAGCTGTGGGTATGTGGGGTCTGATCCTTCCTACCATGAGCCCGCCAGCGCTGTCAACATGGTTACCTCCAGTGACCCTAACTCTGTGCCTCCAGGACAACCCCAAACAGGGCAAAGAAAGCACATCATGGAAACCAACTCTTTGACTGTGAAACACAGCCCCAGAATCCAAGTCAGTTGCGGGGAGGGGGGTACACTGTAGCATGGGCACTTTTTTAAAGCTCCCAAAGAGGTTCCACTGTGCAGCCAGGAATGAATATACATCAATGGTGTCAACTATCTGTAATGGCCTAGACTGTTTTCTCCCAAATTCCTATGATGAAGCCCTAACACCAAGTATAAATGTGCCTGGAGATGGGACTCTAAGGAGATAATTAAAGTTAGATAAAATCATAGGGTGGGGCCTGATCCAATAAAAATGGTGTCCTTATAAGAAGAGGAAGACAGACCAGAGCTCCCTCTGCACACAAAGGAGACGCCGTATGAAGACACAGCCAGAAGGTGCCGTCCGCAGGCCTGGAAGGGGGTCTCCCAGGAACCAACCCTCTGGCACTGGATTTCAGACTTCAGCCTCCAGACTGTGAGACGTCAACATCTGTTGTTTAAGCCCCAGTCTGTGGAGTCTGTTTTGGCTGCCAGAGCAGACTAAGACGCCAACTAAACAATCCAACACACAGACCTTCGGTGGAGCCGCACGACTCTCCGAGTGACTAGTGGGAACAACACTCATCTCATAGGGCTGGGGGCTGGGGTCAGGGTCCCCCAGGAATGGTCTGCCCATACCTTCTGTGTAGCCACACGCCTGTGTGAGGGCCTGGCAGTGGGTCAGAAGCGCGATCCTCGTCACGGTCACCCCGAGCACGCTCCCATCCTTGCACGTCTTGTACTGCAATGAGAAGGTGCCGAGGGTAGAGCTCCAGGCCCACATCCACCTCTGACCCTGAGCTGTGTAAGGGTTGCAGTGCATGTCACTCAGTTCCCCAACCTTGTCCAGACCCAGCAACTCACCTCGATATACGCAGTGTCATTATTTGCGTCCTTAATGTGCGGGAACCAATCTCGAGGAGGTTTAGAGAGATGTTTTGACTCTGTGACAAACCATAATAGCTTTGGCCAACCTTGGAAATAAAGGACAAATTCCTTTCAGGCAAGCATCCCCCAGAAGACAGGTGTGACACCACCTTCCCGTTGGTGGCACGCTTCACAACATCTCAAGCCAGACCAAATCTCTGGTGTTTCCATCAAGTCTAAGGCCACGGCTAAGGTGCTGTAAGCCTCCTGCAGTTAGAGCACATCACGTGCAGGCTGAGAGTGTGTGGGGTGTTATCTGAAACCTCGTGTGTGGACGGTGTGTTGGCACAGATGCCTCAGAGCACATCCTCCCTGCCTGGCACTGAGGCTCACCTTTGAACTGTGGGATCTCCCCCGTCGGGCTCTTCGGCAGCCCTTTGTGGCAAGCGTCACTCGTCAAGGCTACAGTCACTCCACAGCTTCCAAGCAAGAACCCGATCTGCTGGCTTCCTGCGTCCTGGGAGACGGCAGCAAGGAGAGAAGGGTCACGAGCAGAGGTGATGCCCACTCTCCTAACAAAACACGGTCTCGCCCTTGGGCCCTGGGATGGCACCAACCTCCCTGAGGAGAGGTTCAACCAGAGTGCCAGGGCACAGGCTGGTGTCTGCACAGCTGGGGTCAAATCTCAGGCTGCCACTTGCCAGCTGCCTGACCTTGAACAGGGCACTAGCTTGGCCTCAGTCTCATCATCTGCGCTGTGTCCTTAGCTGGCGGTAAGGGATGCACACGGGGAGCACAGAGTGTGCTGCGCTCAGGGGGTCTCGTTCTGTTCCCCTCTGGTTGTACAGGACCATGACCTTGGGACACAGAGAGGGTCCAAGAACACATCTCTGCACTCAGGACGCTAACCCCAAGCAGTCTTTGATCACAACCAGCGTGGTGGACTGGACACCCATGCCGACCACAGAGTAAAGGCGTGTGTGTGGAGGGGTGCCGCCGCACAGACTGACTGCCAGGACTTGGGAGCAGATGCTGCGGGAGGGGCAGCCCCGGGTGCCACCACCCTGAGCGTCCAGCTACCCCGCCAGTCAGTTCAATTCGCTTTCCTTACTCCCACCAGCTATGATTCAGAACATAAAGCCGTG